CTTTTTGACCACTTTCAATCAGGCTTCCGCAGATCTCACTCCACAGAGACTGCCCTCCTCCGTGTATCAAATGATCTGCTAATGTCTGCTGATAGAGGCATGTACTCTGTCCTCTTCTTACTGGACCTTTCCTCAGCCTTTGACACTGTCGATCACATTATTCTCCTTCGAAATCTGAAAGAAATAGGGAYATCCGAGGTGGTGCTAGACTTGTTCAAATCATACCTCTCAGACTGCTCTTTCTCAGTCTTATTAGGCCAATCGCTCTCTGATTCAGCCAAACTCACCTGCGGAGTTCCACAGGGTTCCATCCTGGGCCCAATTCTATTCCTGCTCTACATCCGCCCCCTGACTGAGGTCATCAAAAATTTCCCAGACGTCTCCTCCCATTTTTATGCAGGTGACCTGCAGTTATACTGCTCCTTTAATGACTCAAACACCCACAAGCTCACCTCTCTTATAAAATGTGTCACTAAAGTTAACCAGTGGCTGTCTGACAACTTGTCATTTTTAAACCTCAGTAAGATAGAGACATTGATTCTGGCCCCTGAAAATAAAATCCCTAAGATAAAAGAACGTATCGGCTCTGAGTTCAACTGTTCAGCAGAATGTGCGCAACCTGGGAGTAAATCTTGACTCAGATCTGTCACTAGATAAACACATAAAGAACCTGGTTTCCACTTGCTATTTTCGGCTCCGTAATATATCTAAACTCCGACCCCTGCTGTCCACTTCAGACTTGGAAATGGTAATTCATGCCTTCATTTCTAGCCGCTTAGACTATTGTAACAGCTTGTTCACCTGTCTTAACCAGAAACAGTTAAATCGTCTTCAGCTTGTCCAAAACTCGGCAGCAAGACTCCAAACCCGAACCTCCAAATTCACCCTTATCTCCCCGATCCTCGCAGAACTTCAGTGGTTTCCGGTTAATTTCAGAATCCGGTTCAAAATCCTGGTCCTCACCTTCAGAGCTCTTCATGGCCAAGCACCTGAATACATTAAAAGTCTCATTTCCCCTTACAACCCCAGATGGGACCTCCGCTCATAGGGTCAACATCACCTTATGGTTCCCCTCACTCGCTTCAAGACCCGTGGTGACCGTGCCTCCTCCTCTGTGGCCCCCAGGCTCTGGAATGAACTCCCTTTTAATCTGCGCTCCCTTGATAACATTGTCTCTCTCAAGACACTCCTAGAAACTCACTTTTTCACTCAAGCGTTTAGCTAACCATTGCACCATTAATGCCAGCCTACCTCCATTGTGAATGCTCGCCAATCTGTTTTTTATTATTGAACTTACGCCATATTTTCTCTCCCATTCGTTATGTTTTTGTGTATTATTGTATATTTTGCCCTGCATTGACCTTATTTTGAGTYACAATTTYAGAAATTAATTCTTGATTTGATGTTTCAATTTTCATTGCTTCTGTGTAATTATGTTTTTCTGTTTCATTTTAATCTTTCCACTATTTTAACACTGTTAATGATTGTACAGCACCTTGTGAATATATTTCTGTGAAAGGCGCTTTATAAATAAAATTTTACTTACTTAATTACTTACTTCATCAATAATACATGTCTAACACATAGTGTGAAATTATATTTACATGAACATTTGCATGTAAATACACAGTATATAGAATAGTTAACTCATGAGTTATTAAGCATGTGTAAACAATGAGTATGTTGGTATTAGATGTATTTAGCCTTTATGGGTAAAACATTAATTAATGTGTTAATTCATAGCTTATTAAGTCTGAGTCACCCTTAAATAATGATGTTTTCAAGGTAAAGTAACCTTTTATTAATGATTAATTAAGGCTAAATAAGGTGGTTATTATAAGGTGTTACCGTCACATTCAAAGAAATCCCAAAGTGGACGTTGCTGCTTTCTCCCAACTTTTGTTGTCGTCATTTAGCAGGTTACACTGAGCAGCATCAAATTGTAAACAAGTGTTATTATGGCCCACAGCTAATGTGAAACTACTCAATTTGAAAAAATAAAAAAAGATCCACATGGCTAAAAATAAATTGACAAACATTAATTTAACTAAAATGCTTTTTTAATTTCAGTTTTCGTTATTTAGTTAGTTTTAGTTAACTATAATAACCCTGGCC